AAAAAAATGACGAAACTCTTGGTGGATCAGAATCAACGATGAAACGGAATTAGCTCAGTCCCAGTTAGTTCATGTGAGTGGAATTGGTGGGGAGGAGGAGGAGGTTAAAGGGCAGGTAGGCTTATCAGACATACTTAGCCTAACATTACTGCTGAATGATAATACTCTTCAAGACACTAGTGCTCTTTACAGTGGAATATTGTGAACAATAGCAACCCTGTTCAAAGCTGGAGAAATTGCTGACCTGGAGAGCATGCAGAGATCCTTTACTGATACAATCCACTCAATGAAATATCAAAATTATTGGGACCAATTAAAATCTTTAAATCTGTACTATATTCTAAAGCATAGGCAGAAAAGGTAGGCATTCTAAAGCACAGGCATTGCATCTTTCATAGTAATGAGGTGAGGTGCGGCACGAGAATAACTTTCATTGCTCGAAACGCTGTGCGTATTAGTGGCTTTGGGCATAGCATGTACTAGCTCTATCTAGAAATCCAACATCCTGTTTGTAAATCTTGTATGTACTTTTATCTAAATAAATATATATTATTATTATTTTTTTATTATTATTATTATTATATAACTAGCAGGTACTGTACCAGGCACTGCCCTGGATAGTCTGTTTCTCCCCAACACCCATTCCATCCCTCTTCTTCCCCCCCCCCCTTCTCACATCCTCCCCACATTCCCTCCTCCATTCTTTCCCACCCCCTCTTTTTCTTTTCATCTCTTTGATGAAAAGATTCATTTTCATTCATTTTTCTCCCTTTTCCCCACCCTCTTACCCTCATCTCCCTACAATTACCCCTCTCACCTTCAATAAGTCTGCATGAACACACAAGCCATTAATCACTAGGAACTCTTTTGACCCAGCCAGGATATGAACCCCCCCCCCCAGGATCACCCCCTGGCATACAGGGTACTGGAACCACGATCACACACGATCATTGGAGTAGTGGCTACAGTACTCTGTACGCCAAGGAGTGATCCTGGGCAGCGGGGGTTCGAATCCTGATTGGGCCAAAAGAGTTCTTAGTGATTAATGGCTCGTGTATTCATGCAGTCTTTGTGTCTCAATACTGTACTGTATTATGATTGCGTACTGTACTGTTCTGTATATATACTGTACTGTACTGTATATTACTGTACATAATACTGTACTGTATTATGAATCATAATATGATTATATTATGATAAAACTCTAGGGGAATCAAACTATATACTGTATTTCACACTTGACTCCATGAAAATCATGGGGCATCTATAATTTCTGATATTAAAGTATTTAGCTTAGGCATACTCTGACTAGCCTATGTTCGTCCTGTACCCAAGACCATTCTCCCTGCAAATTTGGCCGAGGCCTAACCTCCAACTTTGGACAGACATTCTAATTGTATAATACTTGAGTAGAAGAATTCTCAGAACCCTATCAAGCAGGTAACATGTAATTATTAAACTGTGTATGTACTGTACTAGTTTATGTAACACATGGTATCACAACATATGCACAATCCTAGTCAATATGGGTTGCTGGACCACTAGTCAATGATAATAGCTTGGATGCATTTGAATACTTTGTGAAAAACCTTTCAACAAATGTGATGATAACGTAATGGCATGTAAAATGTTTACAAAAGAAATACTGTCCTGTAATTGGAAATGAAGGGAAATGAATCTTCAACTACCTAACAAACCAGACTCAAACAAAATCAAGAGTCTCTGTTATGAAAAGCTGTTCCCCAGGGTACTGTACTTTACCCAATATTGATTCTCACATCAGAGATTTTTATTGATTAGCACTTGTAAAGGACATGGCAAACCATCAAACTGCTATGAACAAAGTCTTTCATTATGCTACAAAAGACAGTACTGTATAATGTTCACCAAAGAACAATTCTAGCTCCAGAAACATGGAAAAAAATAAAAAATTATAACTAGAAGCATATACATAACAGCCAAACTCGGCCAGTCCTCACACAGAAGAAAATAAAAAACCACAATAAAGGAATGGTCAACTAAAACAAAAATTGTAACTGGAGAACAAGAAATGTCAAACAAAATGCCAAGCCAATGATGACATTTGTATTTTAAAGTTGCTAGGATTAAACATTACAATACATTAACTACTCCACTTAAAGAGTGGCAAAATTGCAGACCAGAAGAATAGGCCGAGAACTTTACACATTTATTCAATATGGTATTGAGCAGTAAAACACAAAAATTATTAAGAACACTTGATATCCCTCATATTATACAGCATTTGCTGGAATGCAGGCAAAAAGAGGAGAGAGTATTTATGTATTATTCTATCTCTTTTAAATATTAGAAGAAATTATCCCAAATTCGAACAGAAAAACCAAGGAGGTACTTAATATTATACAAAATAGCCCCCATTGTAAAACGGGGAAAAATAAGTACTGTATTTAATATGTATAATAATATATATATAATTCAAATGCAACAGTATATGGAAATGCAACAAAAACAGGAAATGTAATATGTTCCACACCATATTGGAATTTGACCCAACTGTCTGTTTGATTTACTCATGAATAAGATTCCAAAAATGTGCAACCATGCTGGAACAGACGATCGCTTAAACTGAGAGTAATCAGTCCTCAGGCCAGGCTCATTAATGCAACAGCCGTCCCACAAGATGCCTCTACCAATTTCAACATACTGTGCATTCAAAAGAGGTTTGTTTTTGCATAAAAATTAACATCATCATTATTCATTAAAATTCTGTGTAAAGTTAGGCATAGGTTAGGTATTTAGGTTCTATTGGCGATTATTTGGATTTGAGGTATGTGGGGTTTAACACGAAGAACATTGTGACATAAATAATTAATTTTTATTAAATTATCAAGATGTTTTCAGCAATTTTCTTTGGGCACTCATCTGTTCCAACATTATTACACATTTTTGGAAGCCTATACAGTACATGGGTTAACCCAACTGACAGTTGGATCAGATTCCAATATGGTGTGGAACAAATGCAAAGTGGTGTAATGAATACAATGAGATATAAGAAGTACAATAGGGTGTAATGAGTACACCGAGTTGATAAAAACTCCGCTTAATAAAACTACAACACCTATTTCTAAACCAGCACTGTATTTATCCAGATCTTTTCTAAAGCTAAGCTTTTTCAACCAGCCTCCACCCTCTCATAATACAACCCACACTGATATATTTAACACCTTAATATCCCACATTGTTTTACTCTTACATCCATTTGTACTTCACTTTACTCCTCACCTTTTCAATGTAAATTATACTTTTATTTTTAAACTGTAAATGTATATTGGGTGTAGGGTATTACACCCATAACGATGTTAAACAGTGAAAAATATTTAAAATTAAAAAGAGCCAGTACTGTATATATGCTTTTTTTACCTTTAATACTGGACAATACTGTATTAATAAGGATGTGTGTGAGGATGAAAAGATCCTGCCTGAGCAAGGCACTTGGTTACTCTTTATGCCTGAGCAAATTCACCTCCAAGAAACGAAGATAGCTTAGTACTGCCATCGCTACAATCTAGTAAGAGTTAGATCCGAGCCTAAAATACTGAACACACCCAACCTTAACTTGTGCTAACCTAACCTAGCTTAACATACCAATATACTTTTTAAAATTAGAAAACAAGTTATTATCATATCCCGAGTCACTTTTAATAACAAATACGAGTCACATCACACAGAAAATGGTTCACCAACCAATATGCTAGTCTACCTAACTCTTGCCAACCTAACCTAACAACCCAACAATGCCTAACCTAATGATACATACAGGTTTTACATTCAGAAAATGAACTTTCTCAAGATACTTGTGTACAACTTGACCATAACCCTTTCTAACTCACACTCCTAAAGGCTGAGGCAGCCAGCCTAGCCCACCCCTAGAGAAGGTTGAGGCAGCCAGCCTAGCCTAGTCCACCCCTAGAGAAGGCTGAGGCAGCCAGCCTAGCCCACCCTTAGAGAAGGCTGAGGCAGCCAACCTAGCCCACCCCTAGAGAAGGCTGAGGCAGCCAGCCTAGCCCACCAATAGAGAAGGCTGAGGCAGCCAGCCTAGCCCACCCCTAGAGAAGGCTGAGGCAGCCAGCCTAGCCCAGCCCACCCCTAGAGAAGGCTGAGGCAGCCAGCCTAGCCCAGCCCACCCATAAAGAAGGCTGAGGCAGGCAGCCCAGCCCACCCCTAGAGAAGGCCGAGGCAGCCAGTCTAGCCCTGCCCACCCCTAGTGAAGGTGGAGGTAGCCAGCCCAGCCCACCTCTAGAGAAGGCTGAGGTAGCCAGCCCAGCCCACCCCTAGTGAAGGTGGAGGTAGCCAGCCCAGCCCACCCCTAGAGAAGGCTGAGGCAGCCAGCCTAGCCCAGCCCACCCCTAGTGAAGGTGGAGGTAGCCAGCCCAGCCCACCCCTAGAGACGGCTGAGGCAGCCAACCCAGCCCAGCCCACCCCTAGTGAAGGTGGAGGTAGCCAGCCCAGCCCACCCCTAGAGAAGGCTGAGGCAGCCAACCCAGCCCAGCCCACCCCCAAAGAAGGCCGAGGTACCCAGCCCAGCCCAGCCCACCCCTAGTGAAGGCTGAGGTAGCCAACCCAGCCAGCCCCTAGTGAAGGCTGAGGCAGCCAGCCCAGCCCACCCCTGGTGAAGGCTGAGGCAGCCAGCCCAGCCCACCCCTAGTGAAGGCTGAGGTAGCCAGCCCAGCCCACCCCTAGTGAAGGCTGAGGCAGCCAGCCCAGCCCACCTGCTATACCTTAACACTCCATCAACCCCCCTACTCATAATCCCACGCCCCTTCCCCCTCTCCCCTAATTCCCTCCAGGGGCCAGCCTATGCCTACCTGCCCCAGGCCCCAGGCCCCTCACAGCCCAGCTGGGCCTCCCTACCGCCTGCCACACCACTAGAAAGTCCCACCTCGTACGAGTGTCAGCCCGGAACTCTTGAGGAGTGTTTTGGTGTGGTGTCGAGGTCGCCAACCACTCTAACACTCACTCACCTGGATTTGAGGACAATCAAGCGGTGCTTCAGCTCCAATATGCTTCGGGCACGTTCACGTGTATATCCATTTGAGGGCCTCAAGTTCCCAAGTGCATTGATAAGCGAACCAAACGGGTAGAAACGTCAAAGCCGCCACAGGTCTCCTATGAACACAAATATGGCCGCACTACTAAGATAGTGTAGGGTGACCACCGAGCCACCAGCTGCTGACACCATATTACTCCCTAGTGCCATACCGCCTTTCACACCTATTTTTAATCCATCTGGAGAATTCTTCAATTCATAAGTAGACGGAGAAAGAGAGAATATAGGTAAACAACCAATGTTGACTAGTGTAGCTACTTTAGATAGAGACTTTGACAATAGAAAACGGAACACAATGGGGGGAGAACGCTGCTATTTTCATCACATTCTCCTTCCCTTTACCCCCCCCCCCACCCATCTGGCAGGTGTGGTAAAAATATATGTGAAACAAACATTAACGTAACTTCGGCATTGTTACATATTACTTTCTTCAAGTAGCATTTTCTTGGCTGTAAGAGAATTTCTTGGAAAAGGCTGCTAGAGATCGTATAACCAGATATTAAAAACATTTTCAATATACAGATTGTTTGCTCTATTCATTTGATGAAAAATAACACGTAATTAAGTATTTAATTAATTCCACGTATTTAGAGTTGCTAATGTAATTTTTAATTACGTATGTGTACTTATGTAAAACAGACTACACAAACCCAAAAGCTTCAGTTTCTTTTAACTAAGTTGGTTCTCATTGCTTATAGCAGTTTTTTTTTAATTATACATATATCCCCCACCTCTTGCAAATGTTCTTGTAACCTGTCCCACCGAACGGTGTCCTTTCTAAACTGAGTATATTGCCACAACGACCAATCTCTCAAAAGCATTTGAATCTACGTAGCTAGATCTGCAGTGATAAGACATATTACTCATGAACAAATTACTCATATCTCTCCGTATCTTACCTACGAAATCTGCGCCTGAGGTTCTACGACTCAAAACTACCTGAGTGATACATGCTTTATGTATCACACTTTATTTTTATGTAGGGAGGACAATTCAGCAATAGCATAATAACAAACACCAACCCCAAACGGTATGCAGCACCTGTATTTAAATCCTTGATCATGTTAAATGTAAAAGAACTACGCATATTCTCGAGCGTCGCTGTCTTCAGTACTGTAGTGTAGAGTGCAGGCGATGAGTCACAATAACGAGGCTAAAGTATGTTGACCAGACCACACACTAGAAGGTGAAGGGACGACGACGACGTTTCGGTCCGTCCTGGACCATTCTCAAGTCGATTGTGAGAATAGTCCAGGACGGACCGAAACGTCGTCGTCCCTTCACCTTCTAGTGTGTGGTCTGGTCAATGTAGTGTAGAGTACTGAACACTACCAGTCCCAACTTCAAAGCTTCTCAGAGACAGAAACGGGACTCGCAGACACCACATGTTTTAGATTTAGCTACTTAGAACGAAATGTCCATGTAGCACGGGCTCTGGTGAGCCCGTAATGGGGTTCATTACGGGCTCATCATAAGAACAAAGGTAATTGCAGAAGGCCTATTGGCCCATACGAGGCAGCTCCTATTTATAACCACCCAATCCCACTCATATACTATACATGTCCAACCCACACTTGAAACAATCGAGGGACCCCACCTCCACCACGGTACGCGATAATTGGTTCCACAAATCAACAACTCTGTTACCGAACCAGTATTTACCCAAGTCTTTCCTAAACCTGAACTTATCGAATTTATACACATTGTTTCGTGTTCTGTCTTGTGTTGATACTTTTAATACCCTATTAATGTCCCCCTTTGTTATGTCCATTCATCCACTTGTAAACCTCTATCATGTTACCCGAAACTCTTCGCCTTTCCAGTGAATGCAATTTAAGCTTTTTTAATCTTTCTTCATATGAAAGATTTCTTATTTGGGGAATTAACTTTGTCATCCTACGTTGGACACGTTCAAGTAAATTTATATCCATTCTATAGTACGGCGACCAAAACTGAACTACACAAACTGGAATCTAAATGGGGCCTAACCAGAGCAAGATATAGCTGAAGAACCACACCAGGTGTCTTGTTACTAACGCTTCGATTAATAAATCCCAGTGTCCTATTTACCTTATTACGAACATTCATGCACTGATCCTCTGGTTTTAAATTCTTACTAATCATAACTCCCAGATCCCTTTCGTAATCCGACTTCGCAATCTCAACACCATCTAGCTCCTATCTTGTAACTCTATCATCATTACCTAGCCTCAAAACTTTACATTTATCACCATTAAACTGCATTTGCCAATCTTTTGAATATTTCAAAACCCTATTTAGATCAACTGGAAGTGAGTCTTTTTCCGTGTTAAAAGAAGCTAGCTCTTGATTTATACTCTGTAATCCTTCGAAGATTACAGACTATAATGCACGTTTCCTTACACCTGATGCCTCTGTTCACCGAGCAGTAAATAGGTAGCCGAGAGTTAGGCAACTGTTGTCGGATGCATCCTTGGAAAGATCAGTCGTTGGCCTATGTTGTTATAGATTCAGCTACTCGGAACAGGTTCCAAGTAGCACGGGCTATGGTGAGTCCGTAACTTACCTGGCACAGGAGCGGGGCAAGTAGCACGGGCTATGGTGAGTCCGTAGTGGACTTACCTGGCACAGGAGCGGTGCGTGGTGACTGGCCTAGGGCTCCTCTCTATATAGAAGGACCTCGATAAGCCTTTTACGGGCTATTCATGCCTGTGCCACCTCTTGGGTGACACTCTTCATCAATCAATCAATCAATAAGCCTTAACCAGACTTCCTGCTCCCGACAATAGCAAACCATAGAGAGTAGTAGATTCAGATTGATTATAAAAATATAAATTGCGCACTTTTTTGTTTCTTTTTTAAGTAGTGCAGCATTTTATTGTATTTCAGACTGCTCCACAATTTCGAAACCTTTTTTGCATACAATTTTTGCTTCGGTTATTTCGGACTTGGAAAACATCGGAGATTCAAGTTCAAGTATGTTTATTGAGACAAGAAAAAAAATACATCTGAAAGGGATAGAATAGCTTAGGCTATTTCTATCCTCATCTACTTCAAGTCCCTCAAGGGGCGCACAAATTCAGTGAGTACAGATACACAAATCACAATACAAGAATCCCATTTAACATTCCCCAGTTAGTATAGTAAGCACAGCATATAAGTGTTATTCTCTAGGGGCAAAATTATTGTAGCTCCTAAGTATTAACATCGGAGAAATATTTGTTCCGTGAGCGGTGTCTGTGACTAATGTTGCAACTCTTTAAAACAGCAGTTTCCAACCGGGAGTGCAATGGTCGCCACAATTTCAAGGGATCCTTGAGAATGTCCGTTTCGGTCCGTTTCTGCTCGAAACGCTTTGCGTAATATTGGCTTTAGGCATTGTATGTACTAGCTCTATCTATAAATTCATCAATATTTGTATCACACCTTGTATGTATGTACTTTACCTGAATAAACATTTGAATTTTTTAATTTGAATTTGAATAATATTATGTATTGTATTGTACTCGTAATAAAATAAGATTTACTTATAAATGTGTTGAGTTAAATGTCTCCTGGTATCATTTACAAGCAGTTTTTTTTTTTTTCACACTTGGTCCGGGAGACATCTCCCGTCACGCAGGGTGCAGTTGCGCCTCCACAGATCTCCAGTATCATCTTTTGATACTGGTAATGGCTCGAAAGGGCCACCACTTACGGGCTATTCATGCCCGTGCCACCTCTTGGGTGGCTTAATCTTCATCAATCAAGCAGTTTTGACTGAGAATTACAATGCAGGGCTTGTGACACACGAATGTATATACTTGTCGAAGTAATGGCTGCTGTCGATTTTGCTACCTCTATCTAGTTTGTTGTAGGTGTCCACAGGTGGAAGGTCGACCGTTGTAGGAATGTAGGGAGTCCACAGGCGAGAACGTGGTTGGAAAAGGGGGGAATGAAATATGAATGACTGAGAATCCTTACTTTAAGGGATACCTCTGAACAACGGACACTAGCACAACGTTAATTCTCCAGGAGGAAATTGTCGACGTGTTAACAAAACCGATGCACGCCACGATATGTTGACCCATTCTCAATATAACACGGAATGGTGCCTTAAAATTTATCATGACCCAAAACTTCACGACAAAATGGAAAGCAGTATACTATGAAACCAAATAATAATCCATGACCAGAGAAGCTTTGTAACATCTCAAGTCCAAAAACACAAATATATATATTTATGTATACATTAGGAATGACCGTCACACAGTTAGTTTAGTTCATTTATTATGCACCCCATACCCATCTTGTGGGCGGTAGTGGAAAGGGTTACAGAGGCACATAATGGGCTCAGGGACTGAACCCCACAATTCATTTAGCTAAGCAAGTTACAATCTTGATGAGCTCCTCCTGTGCCAGGTAAGTCCAATTCGGGCTCACCATAGCCCGTGCTACTTGCCCCGCTCCTGTGCCAGGTAAGCTACGGGCTCACCATAGCCCGTGCTACTTGGAACTTGTTCCGAGTAGCTGAATCTATAACAACATAGGAATGACCACATTAGGACACGAACACCAAACTAGCAGCACATAGCTGTTATTACGGGCCAGACATCAATAAAAGCTTTACCCACTGTTGAGATCCTGAGTCAAACGAACATTTCTTCCCGCATTAGCTGTTTCAGGCATCACAGTGCCAAAATTAAATTTAAACAGGAACTAATCACACTCGAAACGTTGAGCATCCATATATTATGAGGGGCAGACTACACATTGCACATAAAACAGCAAATAGCTAAACACTTCCAATCCACCAAGAAACTGGGTCACATGTAAGCACATGCAGCCAAGATCACGCTAACTTTACCGGCCAAAGAAAACGAGAACATTGCAACATCAACATCAGGCATCATCGTGATCTGACGCCATCACAACAACATCCATCACCGCCTACTACTCGAATCAAGCGTAGACTTTTTTTTAAATTCATTATTCACAACATTATTTAGTGTATGTGGGTTGGGGTGTGAATAGATGAGGGTAGTATCATCAGCAATTAACTTTCAGAAATCCACGATCGTCGTCGCCCCTAAATCAACACAACAACTTCCAGAAATATCGTTTATCAAACGGTCAACAGTGTCGTGCTACCCTACAGGTGCCACTTGTGAGGAGGTCAATAGAAAAATTTATCACGCAAATTGCTCGTATCATAAAGAATATGACAGTGTCGCCGGCGCTTCTTACAGTACTGCCTTAGGAATAATTAAGCGGGGTAGAAATAGCCTAAGCTACTCTTTCCCTTTGAGATGTATTTCTTTCTTGTCTCAATAAACATACTTGAACTTGAGGAGTAACTATCGGGTAGTGAGAGCAAGCTCTTCATCCAATGATCAGATGAAGCTTTGCGTTATTGTATCTGCTGGGTATCTTAACTTCTCCACACTTGAGTGCTTACTTACACATCTGTTACCTCATCCTGGTACCATTGTGAGACTCCATTTGGATGATGCAGTACAATTTCTTGACATTAGATATCATCCTAATGAAGAGCTTAGTTTATAGTTAAATTCTTATGCACCCTATACCCATCCCTTGGCCAAGGTCGCAAAAGACTAATAAATCATTCTTCTTGAGATGATTTCGGGGCTTTAGTGTCCCCGCGGCCCGGTCCTCGACCAGGCCTCCACCCCCAGGAAGCAGCCCGTGACAGCTGACTAACACCCTAATATTTCCCTTCTTTAGGCCTCCTCTCCACCATTGAAGGTCTATAATTATCTGATCCTCTCCTCTGGCCTCAGCTACATTTTGTCATTCACCATGGCGGCCGCTCCAAGCATATTAAGCACTAAATGTCCCTTCTCTTGCTTGCCTACATTCAACTTCCATTGCACTCCTGAAAAAACAAAGGATCCTAAACCTCTAAACAGCCGTCTCCACCCAGCACAGACCTAGTATTACCTGCTCCTTCCACAGTTATTATGCCATCCACGACTTATATTTATCTACATGGCAATAACCTGTCCTATCACTCCCCTGGCCGAGCGATGTAAAGGATAGTCATAATTGATTCAGGAATTGGACTCTAATATTAAGTCAAAATTATGGCTAGGTCTGAGGTTTTGTCTCCAATATATTGGGGAGGGGGGGATGATATAAAATCATAGTGAACAAATAACTTTTATTATTTCAAAGATGGGTTCATATAGAAACTTAATTCTACTAAAATCAGTTTTATCTTGTAGATTACAGTAGTGATGAATGTTAAGGACTTAGCTCTTAGAATTAAGAATTTACAAATAAACTTTCTTACCACATTAAAATAAATTAAATTAACATTTACTAACAGTATTACTTGTAATGGAAAAATAATTGTCCAAACTGCAGATAATATCTTTGAAGAAAAAGCCACCAAATACTTCTCAGTCATAAAATGTCTTATTATTGTTATTTTCAACTGTAAAATTATTAAAACACAGTAAATAGTTTTTCAAGATATTTTGTTATTGCTAAAATCTAATCTTCATCAACATATCTGAAGGGCTCGGGAGGATCTGGCTCAGTTTCTTCTTCAGTTTTGGGACCCAGAGCAGGAACAGGCTGGACCAATTCTTCACTGTCTTCAGGTTTCGTATCTCTCATCAAAATGATTCCGCCAATGCTGAGTTCCTTCACCGGGGCATAGCGTGATCCCTCTGCCATGCGTACAACTTTAAGCTGGCCTTTCATTACTCGTGCAGGATTACTTAGCAAATCAAAAGCAGGTTCCTCTTTCTTCTTCTCTTCTTCCTTTTTCTTTTCTTCTTTCTCCTTTTCCTTCTCTTTTTCTTCCTTTTCCTTTTTCTCCTTTTCTTCATCAACGTCCATCTTTTCATCTTTCTGTTCCTTTTTCTTTCTTTCGTCATCTTTCTTCTTTGCTTTTGCTGTTATAGAGAGAACTGCTGTTACCTTCTCTGCTACTTCCTTCTTTTTCTCTTCTAGAGGTGCTGGATATCCATAGGTGGAGGGTTTAGCATTTGAGAGAAACTGCATCTTTGGCATTTTTAATTCAGAGTTTAAACCAATTAGGCAAGTAGGTGTGAAAGCCATTGACAAGAAATGTGCCAATGGGAACCAGTACCAGAACTGAGTGAAAACAAACATGCCAACAACTGAAGTCATACTGGTATGCCCTGTGCGAGATTGCAAGGAAATGGTCATGTTGCGTCCACCAGCATCAATAATTCCCTGAGCAAGAATAGCTCCAAACTTTGCAATAGAATCTTCATGTTTATCTCCAATGACTTTCGAATACAACTGTCGGAAATCTTTCACTTTGGAACAAGTGGATTCTGTTTGCTGTATGAGTACAAGAGCAGACGCAATGAGAGCTCCTTGGCGAACAAAATTCACAGGATCATTAGTGAGTGGTTCTAGCAGACCCAAGGCTTCCTTCTGTCCAGTGCCTGAACATGCAACACCCAAAGCCATGGCAGCACCGTACCGAACATGAGGATTGTAAGATTCAGACAGGAGAGATACCATGCTTGGCATTTGCTCAGGTGATCTGAACAGCAAGAACCCCAAAGCTTCTACAGCAGCCCGTCTTACATCATTATCCACATCAGAAACTGCTACATGCAGCAATCTCTTCATAGCTGGAGTTGACGCAGTGCCACAATAAGCCATAGCCACAGTGTACATTGCAGCTCGTCTTAAAATTGCATCCTTATCTTCACTAAGTTCTGTGATGAGACGATCGGCCTGATCTTGCTGGCCATACATATTCAGAGCAATGCCCTGGGCTAAGCCTCGTAGAATTTTCTCGTGCTGTGTATCTCGTGCATAATTAACCATATCAGACACAGCTTGTTCATTTGCAGATCCCAACATAACTAAGCCCATTGCCAATCCTGCTGCTTCTCCTGTAACAGCATCATCTTGGAAAAGTGAATATTTTAATTGCTCATATACATCTGTGCGCTGCGTACCCATGGCTGCTAGACCCAAACCCAGGCAGCCACCATGACGAACAATCTGAAACAAAAGATTATATTAATAGTAAGAAAAACTAAATAAAATTTAAAGCTTTAATAAAAACATGATAAATACAGTATAAAATTTTGTTTTATTTCCAGTGGCTAGATTTTATTTTGGGCTGGGATCCATTTTTTGATAATCGGCATATTAATTCAGACAAAATAATATGTGATTTATCCAGTATTAACCCTTAAGCTGTGGTCATCTTCATATAAAGATTTAAAGAACTATTGTCTGGGTTTTACACATATGATATGCAGCCACACAGAGTGCCTCCACCCAGTAATTATCAAAAGAAGTAATTAATTATCAAAAGAAGGCACCAAGCCGGGAAGGCTATGTAGCACCATCAAATAAGCGGGATATTCATAGGGCACTAAATATCACTAAGGATGCCAATATGAGAACAAAAGCACACGAGGTGAACGACATCGAAGGTATCCGAATTGCCAAGAATTCTATCAAGAAAAAAAATCACCTCAAGGTAAGGGACAAGTGACCACGAGAGACGGTCGGAAAGCAAGACACACGTTCGTCCTGGAAGTCCGGACATTCAACAAGGATATGCATGACTGTAAGAGGGACAATGCAGTTTAGACTCCACCCAGTAAAATGATAAATATTCACTCATTTTCGTGTTTTACTTACATTTTGCAAACAAATGAATAATTATATAATGAAAAATAATTTTTTGTATTTTTGTGCACAGGAGGGTTCATAGCGGCTGTCTAAGGGTTAAATGGGAAACCCCCTTTGAATTCCAAACTCCAACAAAATACAGAGGAATACATACTATGCATACATAATGAGAAAATCAATTGGAGCAATGAGGTGACTCGAACCGGCAATCAAGGAACTCCTAGCTGCACACCTTCTCCCCTGTACGATGACTTGGCGTTATACAACCTGGGATTCCATTGAATCCACAAGAAGTCTGAAGGCTTCTACTGAAGCCTGTCCAAGTTTTACATATCACCCCCCAAGCACTTTAGTGTAGGGAAAGTAGTTTATCAACCATATGCTCCTACTTCAGCTACACACAGTTACACTAAAATTCCAAAATGCTCAACAAAAATATGTCTAACATTAATAAAATTATATGAGTTGTGTAAATTTGGATAGGTTAGGTACATTTTAAAACAATAGTCAACAGTAATGGAATGTTATGGCACCTAATTGGTGTACATTGAAGTGTTCGGTGTAAATGTTAGACCCCAATTTTTCCCGATATGCAATTTCAACGGAACTTTCTTTTATAGATCAGGAAAATCTTTTTACAGTATTTATTGGATTGAATATATGCTGTTATTTTTGGGGGGGAATTGTTTACTTGTATTTATTGAAGATTTTTTTTTATCTGAAGCTTACTTGTTTTAAGAATAAATTGTATGTGGAAATGTAGTGTAGTATCGAAATTACTCTTTGAAAATGATTTAAAGTGTACGACTTTTTACAAAAAAATAGCAGTTTTCCAACCATGACATGACCTTTCCTCACTTGTGGCTCGTGAATTATATAGATTCGTTATGTTATAATGATATTGTGTATTTATCTTATGATTTGTGATGGTTTACAATAATAAATCAGATTTTGTGGGTTTGAAACCTCAAAACTTGTCCATTCTCTAGAAAACAGATAAAACTCTCTAGCTAAGTTAAAAGATTATTCATAAACATTTAAATATTCATTTCTTTCATGCATAATTTATTGAAAATACACATTGTTGTTGCTCTGGTTCTTTAGGGAATGCCTTTGCAAACATTTTGACACCATATTTTTGGCTATAACCCAACAAATAACTGAGAAAATATAAAATAATTGTAAACCATTTAAGCATCACTGAGCGGGACCTGTCAAGCCAACTATGTTTACATTTGGGAACATGAGGAGAGGAGCAAAATCCATTATATATACACTTTTGTTTTTGCACGTGTTCTGTAGACAATTCACATGTGAACATTTTGACACCAAATTTATAGTTATAACCTAACAAAAAGCCTAGAAAACAAAATGATTGTAAACATTTTTCGTACCACTGAGTGGCCCGTGACCACCCTGCGGAGTGCGGTACATTTGTAGTCGGGAACGCATGGAGAAGCCAGACCACTAATGTTAACCATACATAGTTTGGAAGGTTTTATGTTAATATGCTGTGGCTTAAAATGTAATTCTTTTATATGGAGCAATATTGTGCAATTTAGAAGCTGAGGCCATGCCTCAGCCCCAAACTTGTCACAAGTTAAAAGTAAATGTGAGGTGGCATTTAAAACATTGAATGGAAACTCATTAGAAAACAACAATTAAATCAAATAGACACGATAATCATGTGGTATCCCTTACCGGGGATACTTAATTATAAGACAATATTTCACAGGAAAAGCAGAGAACTCACATCACTGGTGGCATCTTTTGTTTGATTAAGAAGGTATTCAATTATATTGGCACCGTGATTCGCATGAATTAGTCCCAAGGCATACAGTGAGCCACTCTCAGCATATCCTGGACTGTTGGATTCCTTTGGCAAGTATGCTTGCATTAATGTGAGTGCTTCTTTTTCATGACCACGATGGATCACCCCTAGAGAAGCTGTTGCAGTCATCTTGGCCCAATTTGTTGCCCGGGACAACCATTCCAAATTATCTCTGCAAGAAAGCACAAATTATAAGTAACTTCAAGCCTGATTATTACATAGTAAATCCTCAAAAACTGGATTTTTAATATAATGGAAACCTTTAAAATTTACAATGAATTGACAATCTGAAAAATGTTTCAGTCTGGAAGAGGAAAGCTCATCTCTCAAAACCATGACAAAATCTGAATCGACTTGACAATACTAGGCAATTATACACATTTTAAATTTAACATAAGAATGTTATCATTAATGTTGTAAATCACAATCATACAATTACAGTTTCAATATTCTACTTAATGTATGTTTCTTCACTTCCCTGGTTCATTATAGTATGTCTAGCAAATGACCAAATCTACACATTATTGAAACGAAAACAACATTTTGGTGTTGTGAAAGGCACAGCAGTGCCATCCTTGCCTTGCACTTCACTAGTGGTTTAATCTAGGTTCGAGCCAGGAAGCTTCAAGTGTTCACCCCCAATTAGTCCAACAGTAATTGGGGATCTAGTTGCAAACTAATTGGCAGGTTGTATCCCAAGGAAAACTAGAAGGGTAAAGCTTAGCATGACCTATGAGAGGAGAACACTATAAACCTGATAGCAGGAGACAGAAGTTGTTTATTCCTGTACCCACCTGGGTAAAGAGAAAGATAATACATTGTGTATTACCATGGATAAACAACCACCACCAACCTTCAAAAGAATTTCATACTACAGCCTGGCACAGAAATAAATTTTATTGTTGATATGTCCTATATAGTGAGCCATTGAAGAAGTTCTTCTTGATAAAGCTATCAAGCTGTATAGTACAGTACACCAAAAGCTTTTCAAGTGACTGCTGATTAAGAATAATAAAATAAATAAATAATAATAATAAAAAGACTAGTAAAAATAGCAGCAAAGAAAGTAATGCCTTACCTAAGGAACTGATCAGATGTTGTACCACAATGCATAAAAGCATTAGCAATAACAGTTGCGGTATGACACACCGATGCACGAACTGCTTCTTTACTATGCCGCAAGATTAACATATCTGTATGATTGTTAGCGATGAGAAATTGAAGGTGCTGCTCAATAGTCATTTCACCACTAAGGATCCTAGCAAGCTTTTCAACTCGATTCTGATGAGTTTTTTCAAGCTCAGTCTGGAATAAGAAAAAATAGTCAAATTTATGACAGTATCAGTAAAGTATTAACAACATTATGATAATCATCAGTAAAGTTCCTTTCAATAAAATAAAAAAATATTATTCCTATATCTGGGGTTGAACCTGCCCATCCTCCAGAAAGTGGAAGATTTATATGGCTATGTGAAATGTTAAAGCAATGAAAGAAGGCAGAGATAATCTGCAAGAAAAAAAGCTTTATGTACCAAGTTTTAGCAAAACAAAACAAAAGAAGTTAAATTTAAAGATATGAAGTAAAAAATATTTGTAATGAACTAAAATGAAACGAGTCTTCATCCTTAACACCTTCGTTGCCACGGCAGGCGACTCACCACCCACCCCAAGGTAGCCCTAACGGGTGTACGTGAACTCGCCACCACCAACAAATGTTTATAGCTTTATGACCTTAATTTTCATGCTACGTCATTCAATTTGATACCAAATAGTTCACAATAGAATGCTGTAAAAGGGTATTTATATATAAGAACATATAAGTCTCACTTCTCTATACTTTCAATGAAAACTCATTAACCCTCATACGTGTTTCATTCAATGCTATCGTCACGGATTGGCTCTGTTCTTGATCAGTATCCATCTGGAAGTCAATTTCCAGTGTTTATAAAGCCGGTAACAACAAATACCCGAGATAAAATAACCGGAATGGGGGAACTTTTTTAACTCGAGGGAAGGCCGCGGCTGTCACGAGAACAGCGAGTCTCCAGTGTGGGTGGGCACCCACACGGTGGGGTCAGGATGCCACATGAGGTATACAGAGAATGGGAAGAAGTTGGCACTCATTTTAAAACACGTCCCATAGTATTCGGACAATAAACAGAATTTTTACCAATTTTTAAATTATTGATGTCATTTGCATCATCACGCATACATGTACTTCCTATTTAGGTTTTACGGGGGAATATGTGGCATTAGGCAATGAAAGTCTTAACACTTTTGCGGCCCGATCAAGCATATTCCGTCATGGAACAAAAATTCGGAGTCCCATGATGATGCAAACGGCGTCATTAATTAACAAATTTGTAAAAATTTAATATATTGTCCAAATACTATGGGACTTGTTTTAAAATGCGCGCCAACATCTTTCCATTCTTTGTATAGCCCATGTGGCATTCTGACCCCACCATGTCGGCACCCACCCACACCGTTGGCTCACTGTTCCTCTGACCTCGCTTGTAACAGCCTCAGCCTCCCTTCGAGTCGAAAAGTTCCCCATTCTGGTTATTTTCTCGGGTATTTGTTGTTACTGGCTTTATATACACTGCAAATCGACTTCCAGATGGATACTGATCAAAAACAGAGTCAATCCATGACAAAAGCATTGGAAGAAACATGTAGCATGAGGAAAAATGATTGAGTTTTCATCGAACGTATAGAAAAGTGAGATTTATATATACTTATATGCAAATATCCCATTACAGCATTCTATTGCAAACAATTTGATACCAAATTGAACAAGGTAGCAAGAACATCGAGGTGAGAAAGCTGACAAGTGTAAACATTGGGGTGTTGTGGTGAGCTCACGGGCAATGCTCGACCTGACCTTGTGCAGTGGGTCGCCCACCACACCAGCAAAAGTGTTAAGGCTTGTAGGCAGACTCTTATCTAGAAACTCAATTATATTTAGTGATAAAAGAGAGTATAATTCACTAAAACAATGAAGTGCAATATACCAAATCATCTAGTGTTTTTTCTTCACTCATGGGTACATCTCCTCCTTCATCTGTGGCTGCTGTTGTCCCATTCTTATCTTCATCTTCAGTGGCACCATTATTTGTTCCTCCAGCAGGTGTTGCAGTCGTTGAAGAATTTGTACTAGTAAGGGCATCAACATCTTTTAAAAGAGAAGGTACCGGGGCAGTGGTACGCAGACCTTGCCGTACATGAGACAATAGATCCTGTGTGGCACTCTCGTACAAGTCAAAGCCAATTTGATAGGCCATTAGTTCATTGTCCTGTAATAAAACAATCAAAACAATAAAATATTCACCACAATCAAATACCAAATATATTTGTAATAATAGTAAACCACTTGCACTAAACAAGAAACCTCTTGTAAAAGGAGTCCCTTACTGTCACAATTCACTACTTGACTCTCACAATTGTTGTTCTTAGCTGATAGCAGTAAACAGAATTTATATTCATATATCATGTAATCCATCTACATTGCCTTATATATTTGGGTTAAAATCTATTTAATATTAATTTATCTAATTTGAGGTTTAAAGTTTTCCTTGAACACACTACAGTTCTCCACTGTTTTTACCTTCTTCATTAGCTTTATGTCATCTGCAAACTTCAACATGTATAAGCCCTCTCAACACCACCTCTCTGACTGTGACCCCCTCCGCATAAGACAACAGTGTGTGTACCATCACCTCACCCCCATCCCTCAACAGTGTGTGTACCATCACCTCACCCCCATCCCTCAACAGTGTGTACACCATCACCTCACCCCCCATAACACAACAGTGTGTGTACCATCACCTCACCCCCATCCCTCAACAGTGTGTGTACCATCACCTCACCCCCCATAACACAACAGTATGTGTACCATCACCTCATCCCCATCCCTCAACAGTGTGTGTACCATCACCTCATCCCCATCCCTCAACAGTGTGTGTACCATCACCTCACCCCCCATAACACAACAGTGTGTGTACCATCACCTCACCCCCATCCCTCAACAGTGTGTGTACCATCACCTCACCCCCCATAACACAACAGTGTGTACACCATCACCTCATCCCCATCCCTCAACAGTGTGTACACCATCACCTCACCCCCCCTCATACCTCAACAGTGTGTGTACCATCACTTCACCCCCCATAACACAACAGTGTGTGTACCATCACCTCACCCCCATAACACAACAGTGTGTGTACCATCACCTCACCCTCCATAACACAACAGTGTGTGTACCATCACCTCATCCCCCATAACACAAGTGTGTGTACCATCACCTCATCCCCATCCCTCAACAGTGTGTGTACCATCACCTCATCCCCCATAACACAACAGTGTGTGTACCATCACCTCATCCCCCATAACACAACAGTGTGTGTACCATCACCTCATCCCCATCCCTCAACAGTGTGTACACCATCACCTCACCCCCCCCTCATACCTCAACAGTGTGTGTACCATTACCTCACCCCCATCCCTCAACAGTGTGTGTACCATCACCTCACCCTCCATAACACAACATTGTGTGTACCATCACCTCATCCCCCATAACACAACAATGTGTGTACCATCACCTCATCCCCATACCTTAACAATTTCAAAACATCACTTCAACATATCTGCAGTTATTCCATCTATACCAGGTGCCTTTTTCCTCTAGCCTATTCACAGCTTCTCAAATTTCTCCTTATGAGTCCTCTCTTCCAGTCTCTTTCATCAGCTCCACTCATTACAAAAGATGAGTATACTGTAATTATCTTTTCATTGTTTGTATCCGTGACTTTAAAATATTAATTCAACCACTTGGCAGCATTATTCACATCTTTTGAACACAGCCCAATCCCACTTTTTTTTTTACAGAAAAGTTGGTAATTTTTTTTAACCAAATTGTCAAAATATTCTACCCAAATCCTGGCCCATTACCTTATTATGAATTTTAATTTTCGTGTCTTGAAAGTTTCATTCCGATAGCCCAAGACATTTTCCAAATATCACACACAAAAATATAGGAATTAAGTACAGTATTCCTATTGAGGATACCTAATTAATGAAGCATTTGTAACTGAGCTATAGTTCAGGAATCCCATAAGAACTATAGTCCAGGTATCCTATAGAAATCCCAAATCATAAAGATGTTTCGTGATTGGATGAAAATATAACCCCTTTTGGACATGCATACATGTGCTAAGTTTTGCACAGAAAAGGCTAGCTAGGTATTTAATGAAAAAGTGAGCCAAGCAGCTCAGAATAAGGATTCAAAGCACACAACCTAACCTACTACCAAAGGGTTAAGGAAGCATTGCTTCAATGACCAGACCTTTGTCCAATGAAATATGTATGCCATGAACTTAAGAAAGAAGTTCACAAACATAAGCTGCATAATCCATAGTTGTTCTGCATTGAAGGATTGTAAACATCCCTACCAAGAAGTGCATCAACCAATTAAAAGGCAACATGATGTACCTTATTTTTGTTATTAAAGCTAGATTACAAGCAACAAAATATGGTTAACAGGGGGCGTGTGAATAAAATTAGGCAAAGAAAAATATATAATTATTTTGGAGTTATGTCTTGTTCATCCAATAATGATAGCATACACTTACTAATGACTTCAGTTATTTATGCAAGTGAAAAAAAGGTTAGAATAAATTTAGGATGTACTACAGAAGACTTATTTTAGTATTTGCATTAACTTTAAAACAATCACATGACTATATAGATCACACAAAGCTAATTAAAATAAATGTAAATGTTATAAACTGAACAGCATGCTGAAATTTTGGGTTGCAACAAATTTATGTAAACTGACAATATAAATAATTGAAAAGTACTTATATATAATATACATACCAATAAAGAAAAGAAAAACAGTACATATAATACTAACCATTGCTTCACTTTTGAGGCTGTCATTCTTAATGAGCTTGTCTAGAATTGAAGCTACTTCATGGGGCTTGTCCAAGTGAATTAAACACTGACACATGTTGACATAGTCTGGAGTGTCCAGGCCTTGATACAATGACACCAGCTGTTCCAAAACCTCATCACGAAACTTCCGTTGCTCTATGTACTGCATGGCTATCTTGTACGAGTAAGTAAGACTACCTACAATGTCATCCTGCAATGTAGGAAAATACGAAATGCATACGTCATTCTTCTTTTCATTATCTATAATAAAACACAGCATAATAATACCTTGTAAATTCTGACATTTGAGCTTTGGAATCACATCCTGCAATAAATCTATAACCTTATATTATACTATATTATTCCCCCCTTTTCTTTAGGCTGTACAGTACTCTTAACTCTACTTACTGATGTCATGATGGCTTCTTTGAACCAATCCATTCGATGAGTTTCAAGGGCTATTCCAATAGCGTGACGGTATTGTTGGTCTTCGATGCAGCGTTGAAACATATTATTTAATAGTGTCTCTAACCGTGGATCCATCTTGGCATCCTTCTGAGCACGTATTTTGATGTAATGATCAATGGCATGAACTGGTGGAAGAAAACAGAACATTAGAAATTTCAATGCTCGCATAATAATCTTATATTAGAATAGACTGTAGCAAAGGCTATAAGATTAGAATACTGTAGGTTATAACAAAGGCTACGTTGCCTATTTAATATTTTTAGAACCAGAACTAAAAGACTATATAATAAATAATAACTATGTGTCTGAAAGGTAATTTGGAATGGTAGAGGGGGACAGTTCTATATAATGGCTGTGTAATGGGCAAATGGAGACAATATGTTAAGAGCATAAAACATCTAGGATGGAAACTCAAACACCTATAAACTGGTAGTAGAGCAGCTGTCTCTGTAACAAGTTAGTTGTTGTTATGCTTCCATAATGGCTTAACAAGGTATTACTATCCAGTGCAATTATGTTTTGTTTACATTGATGCAAAACTTTTAAATTAAACAAAAAATAATTTGGTGTGCTACTGAATCAGCTTTGCACTGAGTGTGGTATGTGTTTATCCACATTTAATATCTAAAGAACAGGTGATAGATGCTCCGACATATTTTATCAAGTGAATGTTTGTTATCATTCATTTGGAGGCCTGGTCGAGGACCGGGCCCGGGGGTACGCGCCAAAATCATCACAATGTAAGTACAAAGGTACAGTATCACCAAATGGAAAACTATACATAATGACCATAATACGGTTCTTTAAAAGCGTAGACCTCAGGCAACAAATAGTTGTTACCATGGCCTAATCTTTCAAATTATTCGTGCTTAAAAACTAAAAGGACTGCATATAAAATACAGTACTAATGTACTGAAGTTACATTATTCTATAGGAAAATAATAATATAGAAATGAATACCTTTGATAGTGTCAATGTATAGTTGATTGGGGTCTTGGTGTAACATAGGACCAGATCGGAGAGCATATGTGAGCGAGTCCAAATAAGACCCCAAGTGGAAGTACACTTTGGACACAAGCAGAGCAGCCAACTCTTGCTTTGGAAAATCTCCATCTTCCTCAAGTCTTTCACTGTGGAAGAAAAAAATGAACATCATTAAAAATAAATTACTACAGGCAATGCTTATTTTCTTTGTAACATTTCTATACTGGGTTCAACTTGTATCAAATATCCCTATTATGAGACAAATATTAGTTTTACCATGATTCTATATCCTGGCACCAAAGCATGAGTATATAGATTTCAGTGCTGCTACTGTTAACAGTATTAAATTTTAAGATATCACTTGAGATCTCTACTCAAGCTTTGTTAAAAAGGACTAAAAAAATGAACTACCGAGATATACATGACCCAATAACAATAAAGACCATCCTTACACAACCACACAATAGTGCTGAAAATATCAGTGCAATACATGAAGACATTCTCCAGATAAGTACTGTATAACTCAAACATTGACACTCCAAAAAATTTTATGTTAAAATCAATAGGTGCAATATCGCTACCCCAATGATAACTAATTACTGTACAGTATTATGATTTAAATATACACAGTGCATGTACAATACTTTTATTTTATATTTAGTAATTCCAAAACACATCATCTACAGGAACTTTCTGAAGAACCACACATAATCATTGCCATACAAGTTTTTCCAAGTCAATGCAAAAACAAAGAATGGCCACACAACAGCACATAGCCCTGGAAAAGAAAACTATAATCAGTTACAATTCAAAATAAAGCTCCACACTTGTTGGATTAGCAGAACACACCAACGTGGAGATCCTACAATGTAATGGTGACCATAATTAGAGAAGAGGGGTAAACCAACTACAGGCATACCTCAGAATAAGAGTTTAATCCGTTCCTGGAGACGCCTCGCCTTCCAAAAACTCGCATTCCGAAGTTAATTTCCCCATAAGAAATAAAGGGAAATGAATTAATCCGTTCCTGACTACCCCAAAAACCCCACATCAAACTAAATTTTTATACCTAATTTACCTAATTCATCTAAATAAACCTACAAAACTGTGTTCCAGTTATTACTTACCTTGCTGTCGAGTGCTGTAGGCGTATGGAAGATGGTGAGGAGGGGGGAGGAGGAGAGGAGTTACTGTTTGGAAGGGGAGTCCCCTTCCATAATCACATCACATAACCCCATGCCTTGTAACACTATGGATACCACTTCTCTTTCTAAATTTTTCAAACCAGCCCCTGCTTGCCTTAAACTCTTTCTTATCTGCATCACTCGTTGCAGGGGTATTCTTTAGAAGGTCTTCATGCAACACCCTGGCTTTCTCACAAATAATGGCCTCCGAAACACTATCACCCCTCAACTCCTTGTCGTGTATCCAAATTAATAACAACTTTTCCACTTCTTCAAGTATTTGTGGTCTTTGTGCTGTTAATGTTCTTACTCCTTTTGCCACTTTAGCACCCATAATCTTATTTTTCTTTTTAAGTATAGTGCATATTGTTGATGTGGCTTTGTTGTACTGCCTACAAAGTTCAACACGTGTACCGTTCTCATGCTTCCGAATGATCTCTTGTTTCTCCTCTATTGTCATCCTCACATGAGCTTTCTGGCCTTTATCCTTACCACTGGCTTTCTTGGGACCCATGGTGAGATATATAATAACAAATTGTATAGACAAATCACCAAAAATCCAACAAAACACTGAAAATCCGCGAGAAGAATTGATGTGGGGGTAGTCACTGAGCGCGAGACAATGGTAAACTGAGGGGCGGAGGGGCGACGATCGCCAAACCACCACGCGCTAGGTCGGCCTGTACGCGTATCAACAAACTCGCGTCCCGAAGTAACCCTCGCCTTCTGAGACAAATTTTTGGAGTAAATACTGCTCGCCTTCCGAAAACCTCGCATACAGGGACAATCGCATTCCGAGGTACCACTGTACAGTGGTACCTCGATTAACGAATTTAATCCGTTCCGACACCGAGCTCGTAATGTGAAACGCTCGTCTTGCGAAAAAACAACACTGTCGTCGGAGGCGTCCGAGAAGCAGCGGGAACGCTAGGAAGCACCATGTGGTTTGCTCATTAAGTGAGTGAAAGCTCGTCAATTGAGACAAATTTTCTGCGATTGGCTCGCTCGTTACTCGAAATGCTCGGAACTGGAGTCGCTCGTCACTCAAGGTTCCACTGTAACAACTTTCTGAACGCAGAAGCCGCAGAAACCGTGAAAGGAGACCAGAAGCAATTTTTATTGTGAGCCCAATCACTTGAGGTTAGGTGTGAGATCAGGTTAATTATTAATCACATGAGCAAAAGACACTACGCATAGAGGAAAGTGGGTATAGTAAAAATATGACACACACACATGTATATATTGGTGAAACTCCTATTAAAATGGGCAATATAATTATCTGGCTGACAACTGGTGCTGAGATGGCTGATCTCTAGGGGGGGGGGGGGCCAGGCCACAACTTTAGCCATCAATATACTGTATTTTCGTTAATATCTCATCAAGTACCGATTCTACAAACCTGTGATATAATTTTATGGACCAGCTTTTATTTAATTCATAAGTTTCCCAAAACATTGTATATAAACAAATTATTCCACATCCAGTACAAATAAACTTTGCTTCAATATACAATATAAAGTAAAAGGACAACAACAAAAAACCAGGAACTCACATTTTCTGTATGGAGTCTGCTATTTCTGGCCAAAAGGTGTCTGTGATCTCATTAAGTCTCTCCAGTGCAAACACCCGTAGTTGGTCTTCATTCTCATCCAGCAGGGCCAGGATGCCCGCTGTGTGAGGACAAAATTTGAAACACTAGTATGCATTATGATTTATTCTTGCTACCAATAAAACATTTAAAAATGCTGAATATTTTGTAGACATTTGAGAAAATTGGAAACAAAATTTCCCTATTCTTTAAACTGGTAAAAAATGATATTAAAGGTAATTTGAGCATAGAAAATAGAGGAGATGGCAAAACAGATGAACATACATCATTTCCTGCAATGGTAGCGAGTGCATAAAGCACTGTATTACGAAACATCTGGTGACACGATCTTTGAAACCTCAAAGATCGAAATAGAAATGAAATTAAAATAGTACAGTACAAAACTAAATACAGTAGTACAAAACCCAAATAAGTAGATATTTGCTTCTGTAATTTTTTTTTGGTTTATTAACAATACAACACAAAGGCCAATTTATTCTGGTGTGAGAACATCTCAAGTTACCATTTTGGGCAGAGATATGTTAAGCACCTAGAATAATTTTAAAAACTTTATACTGTATTGGGAATAACCAAGCTTTCTTGACGTACAGCAGATGCAGAGTAGATCTAGGTTTCCCTCTATAGATGCATCTATAGAGCATAGGGAGAGAGAGAGTGTACCTATTTTTTTAACTTGGCTTGGACCAAATTTCTGAGAGTTTATATTAAAATGCACAGCATTATGTTAGGCAACAAGTGTTGATTTTCATAGCTAAAATGTTAACTTAAAGATTGAGTATACACTGGATACAAATATATAGAGCAATACACCATTCAGATACATACATGTATTACAGTATGTATACCGAAATATATGAGCAGCAAATTTATATTTTATTTTATCCTGTCCCTAAATAGTACAGTTTCCCCTGGGGCCTGTAACCAACATGCTCCCAATCCCTAGGTTATGTAAGTGTTCATTAATAAGATATTTCTCCACTTTCTCCGAGTACTGTATAACTATATAGCATCTGGAAGGAACACAGAGACATAAAAAATGGTGCCCAGGCACTTGGACCATCAGGGATCAAACGCCAACTCTAAGAAGCAAAGACGTCCCTCCACCAACTAGACCAAAGTGAATGAGCATGTACTAAATACTGTACTGAATTTATACAATAACATTTTAACTAATAAACTGAAGGAGAAATGCAAACACCAGCAGTAAATTATCCATTGGTTACTACCAGTTAAAATCAATTACAGGGTATATAATGAATAAACTATCTGACCTCAGGGAGTAGAAGAACTCCCGAGACCATCTCCAGGTAAGATCCCGGTAAGAATTTACTGAACATATTGCACTAATAAATAATTATACAGTACTATCTAAAATTTTCCCATTTCATGTGGACACAGGTCACTTAAAAAAAAAAAATTCAAATTAAGAATTTCAGTCCAGTGTGTGAAAGAAGTGTGTAGAGCAAGTGTAGAAAATTGATCAAATACAAAATATAGCAGCTAAAAAATTAGGATTTGTGTGCAAGTGTGCAAACAGTAGTACCTTAATTGAATTGAACTATCAGGGAGAAAGCGCCAAGCCATTATGACTATATAGCACTAGGAAGGGAGTGAGCATAAAGATTTGGAATGGAATGGAACGGGGGGAAGGAATGGTGCCCAACCACTTGGACAGTCGGGGATTGAACGCCGACCTGCATGAAGCGAGACCTTCGCTCTACCGTCCAACCCAAGTGGTTGGACCTTAAAAAGATTCCTGCAGGCAAGGTGATGATGTCACAGGCACCTCACAGTGTGCCGTATATAATAGCAATTTTAATTTGCTTTTCGGAACAGGAAGCCGGTGTATGCAAATATATACGTTAGGCTGGTATTCAGCCCCTCCCCCCTCCCCCAGGTCAAACTACAGACCCTCCCCCTGGGTGCAACCCCTCAACAGTCGCCTACCTTCCAGACACCTATTTACTGTGACAAGAAGCATTAGGAGAAAGGAAACATACCCAACTATTTGCCCCATCCGAGAATTTTTTTTATTTCATTAGGTTAAGTTAGGGTTGTTTACAAAGAGCAGCAATAACACACCACGACACATCCTGGCGGCCTTTGTGAACCCTGTCAGTGATCCTGGTCTATCATGACAAACTTCCACACCAATAGTGAAGCACTCCATTAACTTTACAATTTTAGCTATAGCGGCTGTGATGAATGAAACAGAGAGCTTGCAGTGTTTAGAGCTGTCCATGATAAAGAGACAGAGACAGAAAAAGGGAGAGACAGAGAAAGGGAGAGAGAGAGGGAAGAAGAGAGAGGAGAGTTGACAAAACAGGTACTTGGACACCAGAGGTCTGGCGGCCCACGGTTCCTACACTACACATATTATTACTCCTCCTCCTCCATATTACACCTCACTACTCGTCTCCTTGGCTCCCGGCCGACCTGTGCCTGCCCCCGGCGCCCAACACGGCCCCGGGGAAGGAGAGGGAGAGGGCACACTACCTGCAGATGTGATGAAGCCCATCTTGCTATGGAAGTGACTTCACAGATTTGATGGCAGCCACAACAGACGCTCGCCTCCTGCTGGCGGGCCTCGTCCTCCTCTCGCCCCTCACACACGCACTCACACTCAAAAATAACACTATAATATATTACCTGAACATATTTGCCATATACAACATCTTTTATAATAAAGTTATTAGTAAATTGGCTAATATTTTCGAACACAAAAAGGGATTAAGTATATAATGTAAATGGAAATGTTGTTATATTATAAACTTTACTTTCTTTCATAATATTTATTTTATTTATTAAAAATGTAACTTGTCACTGAACTCTTTAATTAAATAAAATAGTTGATAAATAGCTTTATATTAGTGTGTATGATGACAGCTGTCGCTAGTAATGTGAATTTAAGAAAATGTTGTGGACATACCAGCTACCATTTCAAAATCAAAATCAAAATGTTTATTTAGGTAAGGTACATACATAAAAGAGATTTTACAAAGAGTGATGGATTTATAGTTAGGGCTAGTACATACAATGCCTAAAGCCACTATTACGCAAAGCGTTTCGGGCATAAAAAACTTAAATGACTAAAGCTTAATACTAATTGAGCATAAAGAGTAAAATGAAAACATGGAATGAAAACATAGCTGAAAAAGCAGCACAAATACAATTCTGTCGACAAACAGCGCTCTTTAAAAAAAAAACAGACATTGGATGACATTAGAGGGGTAAGGTAGGTTACAGGGAATTTATTAGGTATAGCTTCGTTTTTATCTTAAACTGGTTGAGAGAGGTACAGTCTTTAACATGGTTGGGAAGGTCATTCCACAATCTGGGTCCCTTGATTTGTAGAGCATTTTTAGTTTGATTAAGTCGTACTCTAGGAATATCAAAACTGTATTTATTTCTGGTGTGGTGCTCATGGGTTCTGTTACAACCTTCTATGAAGCTTTTGAGGTCAGGATTGGCATTACAGTTTAGCGTTTTATATATGTATAATACACATGAGAGAATGTGCAGTGACTTAATGTCTAACATATTCAGAGATTTGAGTAGGGGTACCGAGTGATGTCTGGGGCCAGAGTTGGATATTGTCCTAATAGCAGCTTTGTGTTGAATAATTATTTATATAGTGTACTAATATATTGAGTTTATAGATGATACTACGGTCAGACAGACGGTAATACTAAATATTATTAACAAATTCAGTGGTGTATGTGCTGCTCACAATACATATGTAGCAAGAACGGGGTGAGAATAGATTGAGCTACCTCATCCCTTTGTGTGTATTTTACCTCAATAAACTTATTTCAATTTCAATTTATGTAGCGAGTACAAACAATATACTGGTTTTATAAACAATATATACTTCTCATTAAGCTTAATGAGCTTAATTGATCAACCAGGCTGTGACTCATACGTCAGGCTGCGAGCAGCCACGTCCAACAGCCTGGTTGATCAGTCCGGCAACCAGGAGGCCTGGTCGACGACCGGGCCGCGGGGACGCTAAGCCCCGGAAGCACCTCAAGGTAACCTCAAGGTAACCTCAAGGTAATGGCGTAACTAATTAGCACTAATCGCAGAAGCTATACTCTCTTCTCTAATTACAGGTAATAGTTCTTCCATCCTCCTATCCTAGTGGAGGAAGCTGAGGTGTAGTCACGGAATATAAGCAAGCATAAAGTGAATACAGGGTTGACAGATTGGGCTACAAGTAGCGAATTGGGCTACTTTTGAGAGCCCCGCGCTCCCAAATTTTTAATTTCGCTACTTGCTACTTTTTGGGCTAATTTAAAAGCAAGTTGGGCTAATTTGGGCTATTAATGTTAAGCAACTCAATGATGATTATTTATGGTCAGATGCAACACAAAGAAGCACCCCGTGATAGCAGCCATAGACTGACAATTTAAATGCGAGCACAGCACGCAGTATATCCTTTTACGACCGAAGATCACATTCCACACAGCCCCGCTCCTGTGCCAGGTAAGTCCCCTACGGGCTCACCATAGCCCGTGTGCTACCTGCCCCGCTCCTGTGCCAGGTAAGTTACGGGCTCACCATAGCCCGTTCCTGATACAACAGATGACTAAGCTCTGGTATGATTTTTGTCGTAAGACATAGCTCCATAGCTCTGGTAAGACATGGCTCCAGAGCAGCTATATCTTTCTGAAGATGAGCTCTCCATGCCTGGATGTAATAATTCATGTGGGGGCGCACCATCTACAGTCTAAGTAGACCTAGGCGTGCGGTTACACAACTGGTCGGGCTCCGGTTAAATAACTGGTCGGGCTCCGGTTAAATAACTGGTCGGGCTCCGGTTAAATAACTGGTCGGGCTCCGGTTAAATAACTGGTCGGGCTCCGGTTACACAACCTGTCGGGTTACGATTACATTACTCCAGGGGTGTGACTTGTTGGGTTTTGGGTTGTGCATGGTCGTTCTCTGGTTCGTGCATGGTTGTGCTCCAATGGTTGTTTGTGTACTAGTGCTCCAGGTTTGTTTGCTAAGGCTCTGTTTATATGTTTGCTAGAAATCCGGGTTTCTTTTTTTTGTATATAGTTCAATTGTTTGCTATGGCTCAAGAGTTGGTGTCTAGGGCAAGTGGAGGGTTTTAGGTAGGGCTAAGGAGATTTTTGTTTGGTCGAGCTAGGAATGGAGTTTGGTTGTGCTTTGGGACTGTTTAGCTTTGTGGGAGTTGGATGAGATGTATACTTGCTAGGCTTATGGTTATACAACTGGTCAGGGTCCGTTTACACAACTGGTCGGTCTCCGGTTACACAACTGGTTGGGCTCCGGGGTTGTCATTTGGGCTTCAGGTTGTGCATTACCCTAGCTCTTTGTGTAGTGAAATTTTAAAATAAAGTTAGATATATATTCACACGTACTAAAAGAATAAGGGTGGTAGGAGAAGAAAATATCAAAGTGTTCAGTGAGGATCCACATGATCTTCTCTGGGTACTCTTTATTTTCTTCTCTGAGGCTATGGGTCCCTACACTTGCACCGGAGGTGGTACCCCTTTTAGGTTAAAAAAATTATATAAATATATATATATATATATATATATATATATATATATATATATATATATATATATATATATATATATATATATGTGTGTGTGTATATCACGAAAATAAACGCGTGATTAAGAATGTGACAATGTCAGATCACGGAGGAAAATGAAACAGGAATTTCCTTAAGTACTTTCGTATATTAAATACATCTTCAGAAGGAATCATTCAGATTCCTTCTGAAGATGTATTTAATATACGAAAGTACTTAAGGAAATTCCTGTTTCATTTTCCTCCGTGGTCTGACATTGTCATATATATATATATATATATATATATATATATATATATATATATATATATATATATATATATATATATATATATATATATATATATATATATATAATGTGTGTGTGTATGCAGAAATAATATTAATAAATCAATTAACATCGTGTAGTGTACTCTATATATCAAAATATATTACTTTGAAACCCGTATTAGTCACTAAACAAAAAATTGGGCTACTCTTATTACAAATTCGCTACTTTTAGACCGTCAGCTCGCTACTTCCAGCAATTTGGACCTGGCAACCCTGAGGGGTATGAGGTACTTTGTGTCCCTCATGTTACTCTGCTCTGTTACTACTTCATACACACACGAATATTTGAAGATATTCTTGTGCTGTACCCAGACTTTGCTAGTGCAGGTTAATAGATCATCCTTACACTTCATGGTCTCTCCTGATTCCATGTATGACTAACCATCCTGTGAGATGTAGATATTATATAAACTTATAGCTAGTTTTTGATCTACACTCTGTAATCCTTCGTATAGAATACGGTAGCAGCACATTACTGTGTATACTTAAGCTTGTTAATAATTTTTTTTTTATTCTAAACTTATTAAATTTGTGTCCACTGTTTCGTGTTTATATATTTAGCACACTATTGGTGGATAAAGTCTTCAGCCGAGGAGGAACACCGGGGGAACGAATAATAGAGAGATAAGTGAACGTTGACCAGTGCGATAACATTGAACTGTGTAAAACCTAACTATTAACATGTGGCTGGGTATAGCCTTGGTAAACAGAGCGGGCCTGACGTCACGGTCACATCGCCCCGTGATTGGTCACAAGGGTCAATTGCGTCACTTGTTTTCATGTTGTGATTGGTGGTTGGCAGCGATGTCTGGTCCTCCAGCACACCACCGGGTTATTACTTAACCCACCAAGTCATTATGTCTCCAGTCCGCTGTTGTCACCCGTAGAGACAGCCGCTTATCTTTATAATTTATTCGAAATGCTATAATTATTATTATTTGCCAATTTTTAAAAGTTTTTGACGCGTTATGGTGATGAGATTGTGAAATAGTTTATACTCGGCGACCTCTGCGTGTGTTAGTGTAAACAGAAAGATGGCAGATTTCGATGCCATCAACACCATCGAGAGGGATGAGGAGGATAATTCTTCCTCGTCCCTAGAGTCCTACACACAGACGCCTGAGCCTGTCATCATTAGAGGTGCAGGCAACATTACCGTGTAAGTGAGGGAGTATTTAAGACTCGCAAGGCAGCCAGTGGGATCTGGTATGGTGTCATTGTCTCCCCAATAGGGCCTGGAGCTGGAGCTTTGCCCTCGCGACTTTCTGCAACACATATGGGTCTGGAAGGAATATTTAACGAGGCTCTTATGCACATGTAACTAACAAGAACATTTTAACGAAGTGTTTAGTGCTTTGCTTGAATATCACATACTTCCTGAGACTTGAAAAGTTTATCACATCCACTTCTCAAACTTTTCTGTACTGTGGCTGGTTCATGTATTAAATTATTTTGTATTCTACTAGGATGGTTTGTGCAGAAATAAGAAGCACAGTTGTTCATATCAAAAGCATTAAGATTTATATATAAACATGTCGGTACAGGGGTGAAGCGATGTCTGCTTATTTTTCTGTGGTAAAGAGTTTGTTCATGAGTTTCATTAGGTGTGTTCAGCACTGACGTGACGAGTGATATACTGCTTGGTTTAAATTTTGCCATAAGAGTCGACAGGGATATAAAATAATACAAAATAATTGGGCAATACACTGGAAGGCTGGTGCTCAGCCAGGCTGCAGTAAATCTATATAAAAAAAAAAACGTACTATATTTAAGCTCTGAATAGCTAGGCAGAGTACATAAACTAATTTAAAAATTTAATAAAGTGAAAAACATTTGATAATGTAGAATAATTATAAAGAGATTGATGTATGAATTAATTATTTTACATTGTGCTGTTTTAAAGGTAACGAGGTAAGTAGCCACAGCGTTTTCCCGCCTCTAAATTTTGTCCTTGTCTATTGTTTGAAAATTTACTACAATGATCTTTTTTTTTTAAGGAAGCCCATTACTTTCTTAAAAATAATTTAAGAATTGGCTGTTTGATAAATCTTTATCTAATCTATACTGTATATGTATGCTGGTTTCTAGCTCATTGGGTGTTCATCTATTTGAGTTTACATATGTGGGCTCTTCATTAATTTTTTAACCTGATTTGTATGAACAGTACAAATAAAAACTTATCCCATAATCAAATAGTGCAGAGCTCTTTAGAGTCTAGTCAGTTCATCTTCAATATGCAGACGATGAGTCACAATAACGTAGCTAAAGATACCATTACCAAACCACGCATCAGAAAATGGAGAAACAATGATGTTTTGGTCTGCCCTGGACCATTATCAAGTCGATATGAAGTCTATGCGATAGAAAATTAGGAATGCATATTGGTCATAAATTAGGGACTCTGTAACTGCATGGAAATGTGAAATCTTATACATTTTAAGAATTGAAAATGGTAGTGGTACATAAAGGGTACATAAAGTTGTAACTACTGTACTTAAATTTTACTTTTGCTGTAGTATGTAGGAGTATTGGAGGAGTATGTGATGTATTTAATCAGTGGCTTATTTTCATTGCAGGTTTGGCCTAAGTAACCGCTTTTGTCGAGATTTCCCAAGTGCATTGACTGGCAGATTAGCTCCAGAAGAATTTACAGGCTCAGTAGGGCGTGTAAACACAGTTCTCAGGAAGACACTACCAGTATCTGCTCGATGGCTTCTCTGTGGCTGCTGCTTCTGTTTGTGTACCTGTGGTTGTTCTCTTTGGCCAGTAATATGCCTTAGTAAAAGGGTATGTGATGGATAATAATTTTCTGGCTAATGCAGTTGCTTTATAAACACTGATCTGTAGTTACCTTGTATTCCTGGGAGTACAGTATCCAGCACATCAGTTTGAATTCTCCTCAGTGGGACCCTACTGATTTTCTCATTTACAAACACTATTAAGTAACATCAAAATTAATGACATAACCGGGGCAAAATACATTCCTGCATCATCTCACTATTGACATGGTACACTACTGCTTAACACTGCATCATGGACATGGTGTGCTATTGCTTCTCATCACATCATGGACGTGAGAAACGTAGAGGCTGATGTTTACTTTTTCAGTTTTAAGGTTATTGGTTCTGATGAGATTGATTTACTGTATTAGGGTTCCATGGCTTTGAAGTCGCACAAACGTGTTATCAAGTGCACATTTTCAGTAGTAAGAGTCAAAAGTTTATAATTTGTCCTGCAGAAGGTATTTGTATTTCCCTGATTTACTAATGGCAAGCTTAGTTTCATGGCCCCTTATGGTGGGTGCACTATCAAGAGATTTGTCTGCATTGCTGACACTTGCACATGCATTGCCTACATGACAGAACCTACATGCACAAATCCTTTCAGTTAATGGACCTCCTGCAAACGGTAAAGATTGGGCTCAAAAGTACCCCCCTTGATTCACTTCAATCCCCAGCTAGTAGAACATTAAAACACTATTAGTGAATGTTTATGCTTTAAATAGCAAACTAAATGATGGCTGAACTATTACGAATATTGAAGTGGTTAGCTGAAGGCATATTGGTAGGTAGCATTGGCTTATGAGCACCACCTTTTGTCATTTCGTGCATTTAAAAAGTAAGGAATTTGAGCAAGAAAAATCTGCTGCACTTGACAAAACCACTACAGCAATATCACAAACTTTGTACAAAGTTTGAGTGCTTCCCAGGATTTGTAACTTAACATGCCATTCCTGATTTCATCTATTATCTATATCTATTCCTATTTCATTCTCCTATAACCCTGGCTTTCATTGTCCAGCCAAAAACCTGATTTTCTTTACTCAAAACATTTTTGTTTTTGCATAAATTCTTAAAAGAAAAGGTGCAGTCAAGTCTTTCAAATATTCATTTGCATTTAATTTTCTGAATATATTTCATCAATACTTATGGCTTTCCCCACATTATTGCATCTGTGCTGATGTGCATATTCTTTCCATAGGCATATTCTTTTTCACTCCCGCAAAATCAATCATGTTTACAATTTGAACTGTTATCAATTCCATTCATCTCACTTTTTCAGTACTTCCTCCAGCTTTATTTCTTCTTAACCGGTTAACTTTCTTCCATTTCTATATATAATATAGGTGTCTGAAATAAATTAGGCTTGGTGCCTGCTTTTGGTAATAACTTCTGAAATGTGTTAATTTTTCTTTCAAGCTCCTCATTCACTCATTTCACTTCTGAACTAATCTTTGACGTGTATTTTAGTCTCGTCTTGATACAATTTTTTCTTTTCTCATCCCTATATACCTCTTGCATGACACTGTTTTGTCTGTCCATTAAAATATTAAAAATAACAATGTCTATGCAGTATATAAAAATACATTTGATACATGATAGTGGAGAATTAACAGGTAATAAAGTTAAATTATATGAAGCCACTAATGTGTAGTGTTTAAGGTACTGTATAATGTAAACATAATTAGGCAATTTATTTATAAATTTAATGGGGTAGCACTTAATACTAAACAAGGAGTAAGTGAATATGATTTCATTTTTAAGAGATTTGGCAAATGATTTAAAATTTGTGATATTTAGAAACTGGTTTTTAGCAACAGTTCAAATATAGTATTGTTTACAATACCAGCAAAATACAGATTAACATGTTGGGTGAGGAAATGAGTAAAATTGCTTACATAATGTTAGATATTATTTAGTTTCTTTCTTAAACTGATTGAGAGAAGTACAGTTCTTAATTTAATTTGAGAGGACATTTTCAGTTTAATTAAGGACCTTTTAACAGAAGCTGAACTGTCTTGCAAATTAAGTTGTACTCTTGGAATATCAAATAGAAGTTTATTTCTTGTATGGTGCCTATCTATTCTGTTACAGCCCTCTAGAAAGTGTTTAAGGTCATGATTAATATTGCAATTCAGAATTTTATAGATATTGAGCACACTTGGGACTGTATGAAGTGATGTGATATTTAGCATACTCATGGATTTCAGGAATGGTACTGAATACTGTATAGGATTAGTTTGTTATTGTTCTAATTACTGATTTATGTTTAGTAATTAAGGGTCAAAGAGTCTTTTAAGGAGTTGTAGATCCCTAAGCATAGATGCCATAGGTGATTTATGGATAGACAAGTAATTGGATTTAAGAGAATACCTACTGTTTTAGAAACTTTTTTGGTTATATTTTGTATGTGGCAGTTGAAATTGTTTGTTGTCGATATGAACACCAAGGAATTTTCCATTTACTCTCTCAATTTGAGTAGTCTTAATTCTTAGTTCAATTCCATTGGTGGGCTTATTTCCAGACAACACTGAAAAATGTATTAAGTGCAAATTTAACTGCCACAAATCGACATTATTTTAGTAATGTGTTCACTGTATTACAGTGTATTTAGGATTAGTGGGTTACTATTTTAAGAAAATGGAAGTTGTCATTAGCAAATATAATTGACTTCAGGTATTAAGTTGTATTTGGTAGAATGTGAATTAGAATGAGTGGACGACCAAGTACCCTGTGGAACACCAATGTTAATTGGTAGTGTGGGAGAAGTAGCATCATTCACAGTAATATACTGATGCACATCATTGAGATAAGATTGAAGGTATTGACAAGAGTGAATTCTGCTTCCATAGTATTTTAGTTTGAGAAGGTTATTCTGGTTAACAATCTGCTCTGATGACATTATTGGGTGGGAAATTTGACTGGGGCAGTACATCCGTCAAATGATAATGCAGGTGTCTATAAGGTCAGGGATAGAAACCTCACATAGAGCAGGTCAACAAATAGAGCTATGAGGGGCAATCATTTTTGTCAAAAGCTGCATGTATCACACTGAGCATAATAAAGCATCGTGCTATTTTATGGTCCGAAGTCACGTTGGCAGGAGCTAGTTACCGTATGTTATGTTTAGCTAGGTAGGAGTAAAGCTGTTTGTACTTTAAGTTTTTCACAAATATTTTGAACAAGGTGGGTAGGACTGATATTACAATAGTCTAAAAATGTGTTATTTCAATGAGATCACCACGCTAGCCTTTTTAAGAACATCAGGGAAGATACAGTTTGATTTATTGTAGAGCAAAGCTATAGCTGAGCTTTAACACCCCGAGGCATTTTTTTTTAAGTTGACCTTTCATAGTTTGTAGCCATATTTATCCATTTTTTATTTATTTTACCTCTGACATCTTGGTGATAGTGTTGCATAGTTTATATTATTGTTGGCCATCAAATGTTTCTCATTATAATTTGTATTTCAGACAAGAAATGCAATAGAAAAAACTTTAGAAGCAGAAAATACTAACCTGTATCACAAACTCGGCTTACACTGGCGACTTGCAAGACAACGATGTGATAATTCTTCACTCATGGAGTATGTAAGTACACTATTGCATTAGATGTGTTTGTATTATTGTACAGTACTGTATATAGTAAAACAGTCAACTTCATTTCCTTGGAAAACATCATTTTATAAATTCAGCAAAATTAATTTTTATCATTCCAAATACAAAATTGTTGCAAAGTGATCACATTTATTAGTAAATGTAATCTTATAAATACAACTTGTATAGTTTAACTGTTTTTTTCTGAATACCATTACTGTACTGTACGTGCCCGAAATGCTATGTGTACTAGTGGCTTTAGGTATTGTATGTACTAGCTCTATCTATAAATCCAACATTATATTTGTAAAACAACTATGTATGTACTTTCCTGAATAAAATTTACTTACTTACAATTTAAAATTGAATGCAGAATTATACAAAGTTTGTTGTAATTGTCATCAATAATTATCATAAAACATACAATCATTTGAAATTTGTGTGCGTCTCATGCCTTGAACAGTTTGAGCCTCTGTTTTTTTCTTATGCCAATTTTCATTGTAATCTATTCATTTGCCATTAGTAAAACTATTATTTCCAGTTCGGGGCTCCCTGATTGTGGAAAGTCTTCTTTATTGCCTAACAATATGGCTCTTATTAAATTTTGAGGACTGTTTTTCCAAAACTGGGTTTCTCCTCCAGGATTGAGTTTTTTTTTATTTACTGCAGTCAATATTTATAAAGTAAATTATATTAAATGACAAAGCACACAAAATGCAATTTGTAATCAAAATATTTGCATTATTATGCAACAATAAATATTTGCAATGGCATTGCCAACTGAAACCACCTATCTAATTTCCAGGTTATAATTTTAGTTTCATAAATACCGAATTTTTAAAAGCTATTTAATCAATACAGTACAGTTATAGCTTTATTATCATTACCCCAATGCCCACTTGCATTGGGTAGGAAGGAAATGGCCAGAAGAAAACCAATTTAATAATAGTGATAGCAACTCTTCATATGATGAAAGTAGAGGGTATGTAATATGCAGTAAAGATATAGCGTGAATTAGGAAAACAGTAGTGAAAAATTATTCGGAAAACGTAAATCTGGTTTTGGAAAGAAAGAAGTGCAACCTGGAGACTTGTGGTTAGGTAAATAAGAATGTATGATACGGGATAATGTTGACTGGTAAAGGGGAGATTAGAAATGGGTGGAGATAAAAATGTACTTTGAAAGCGTAATATTTTGAAACGATGAAAGAGGTGCTAATGGGAATTTAATTGACTTTGGTGTGAGAAGGGTGCAAGATAGTTTTCCACCTGGCTATGTAGTATCTGTGGACAAACTTCAATTAAGTTGAAATTTGGGAATGCTGCAGGTGCTGTTGAAGTGCAGTAAATGCAGAAATCGTTGAATGTAGTGGAGAATATGACTATTTCAATAGCCACACGTTGAGGGTTAATGTAGGAGTATGCCAGGAGTGTATGATGTAAGCTTTGCTTTTCTGTATATTCTTCGATGAAGTCTTGAGGGAGATTGTTAGAAGTGTAACCCTAATTTGAAGTAGGCTGATGAAAGTTCTTTTTGAAAAGAGAGAAAAAAAGTTATTTAGGCTAGTTGAAATTGTATCGAAGTGAGAAAATATTATTAAAAGGAATGTTGAAAAAGCCAAGTTGTGATGGTGGAGAAAATAAAATGTGCTAAATAAATATAAACGTTTGAATGTTGAAAGTGGCTGATCAGTTTAAATACTGTACCTTAAATGTGTGATTGATAAGAAGAATTTGTGCAATGAAGTTTAGTGTAATATCAATCGAGGGAAGGAAAGAGGTTGGTGCAATGAAAAGAAGTGCCATGTGCGAGCGGTCTTTTGTCTCCTTCTGTTGACTTTGTGGCATAATGCAGAGCTTCTGCATGTGCATGAGAATCTGGAAATTACCCCTAGGTGACCACGACACACAGGCAGAGTGTACGAAACCTATTTCCCTTCACTGAGACCTAGCTTGTTTGATCGCTAATGAGAGCTCATAGTTTGAGCAGCATGATGATGCTACAAGGCTGTCTTTGGTTTAGACAGTAGGGTGCAACATTTCCATGTAGAAGTGAGCACCAGACAGCTGCTGGCATCTCAGGAGCTGCTGGCTATGGACACCTGCCTCGGGCAGTATGAAAGAGATTTAGAGGCGAGACTACCCACCATACTTGACTCTGGAATTGGTGATTTAGCCATGTCACAACTCCATGTGCCCATAGTTGGGTCTACGATGTACCAACATGCATAAAAGCCACTGAATAGCCAATTGCTGACTGCCTAACCTTAGAGACAAAGGCTGGAGCTGGCTGGCTAAGGCAGGCTTCTGTGCCTTTGTAAATCTTTCCAGCTAAGGACGTGAAGTATAAGAGACATACAGTATGTCATTGGTCATTAACTAGAACACATTATCTAAGTTCTTGGGCAAAGTTACTACAGTACCCAGATTTGTCAAGAGTTCTTGCAGGTGGGCAGAATCCTAAGTTGTATTTAATTCTGAGAATTAAGTGATTATCATAGATACCACAGGTGTAGCATCTAGATGCAACAGGACCGCGAGAAGTAATTGCCTAACTAAGTGTAGTTACAGGACGAGAGCTACGCTTGTGGTGTCCCGTCTTCCCAGCACTGTTATGTAACGCTTTAAAATTACTGATGGGTTTGGCCTCCACTACCTTCTCACCGAACTTGTTCTAACCATGTGTGTATAATATATGTATAGGTGTGTGTGTGTGTGTGCAGAAAATAAATAAATAAATAAATATATAAATATATTATATATATATTATATATTATATTATATATTATATATATATTATATATATATATATATATATATATATATATATATATATATATATTATATATTATATATATATATATATATATTATATATATATATTAATATAATATGTATAATATATATAATTAATATAATATAATATAATTAAAGGCTGGGGTTCATATATTGTGAAGTAGGCTGTTGGTCAACAAAGATGTTTTAATGAAAAAAGTAGGATTAATGTTATGGTCACAGTTCAATATTGGATGTTTCTTGCCATTTTATGCTAAAGTGAATTACAGTTTAGTTTAAAATGTATATACTATTTCTGATAATCCTCATGTGAAATTGTTCTAATGTTGTCCAATACCCCAATTCAGGTTCTGGTGATAGAAGTTATTCCCAAAAAAGATATACTACGACCTGACTGACGGAGTAGGTTGGCCTCGTCCCCAGAGCTTTTCAGAAAAGTCAAGGGGAGGCTGACTCTAGTGATGACTTGTCATATGCCATCAGATTTGACAGAGTGGCATGGGTCACAAATGTTATCCTTGACATTTACTTTACTCATCAGTTATTGGTGAAGCACTTTCTCCATGCTTTGGCATTTGTCTAATTTCACATACTTCACTTGTTTCTTATCGAGTCATAAAAGTATAAGTTTTAATGTATATACAGGTACAATATTATTGCAAATACAGTACTCTGTAATGTACATAATATGCCCCTTTGTATATAGAAGGCTTTGGAGGCACACTTTCTCAAGTATTTTTTGATGAAAGTTGAATATTTGGGCTATCATTCTGTAAATTTTGCCATATTCATATTTTAAGTACAATACTCTGGTACATTTCTACCTTATGGCAATAAGTGACCAGAGAGAAATGATGGTTCACACAACACAAGTTACTGTAGGATGTAGCCTTATATGTTAAGTCATTGTAAGGTGCTCTCATTATAACATGTATGGTTGCAATTTACACTTAATTTTCCATTTGTATTACCACAGAAGTATATCTGTAACACGGGTGGACCTTTGGTCAGTTGCTGTATAGGCTTCATCATTTTTATTCAAAGTGAGAAACAGTAATGACATTTAAACTGACAGTAACCATGGAACAATCCATTAATATATGATGTGCAATGATTCCAAGTTCTACTTTTTAAATGTACAGAGAAATGCACTCTTCGTTGACAGACATGCCAGAAATAATCTATAGTCAGGACTTGCTGTGTGTTCAGCAGGGTGGCGTGGTTAGTACCTTCTCGATACAAACTAAACAGCCCTGCGAGTACCTTTGAAACACTTCATTCACCCATATGTTCTTTATTCTAATTTCTGTTTACTAGTCCTTCTCAATATGAATTAGATTAACTTTACTTGGATATACCATACTGTACAAATTTAATAATTCCCTTTATGGTCTGTACTTTAGTTTCAGCTCCCTTCTTAATACAGTATCATTTGTTTCTTGGCTTCCTAATAACGTTGTCTATCAAAATGTCCCCACTTGAAAAAAAAAAAGCCTTAGCTTGTGCATACGATATAGATGCAGTGTTCGAGTGTTAGACTCGTGTTTCATTTGGAAATTAGTGTTGATGTGGATATCTTGGTTAACTAGCTAGTGGCTTAGCTCTTCATTACTCTGGTACTATAATATACTTTAGTTTAAATCTGGGTATTTTTCTTGCAGAATTTTCTTCCCCCCCCAAATGTTTATTATTTAAGAATTTATTAAGTATGTAAGGTTCACTCAACAATATTTTTTACAAATATGATCCACTTTCTTTATATTGGTACAGTACAGTACGTACTCAGATTTTGGTTTGTCATCAATTAAAAAGTATTCTTTGTATGTGCAGACGACGAGTCACAATAACGTGGCTGAAGATATGATGACCAAACCACACATCAGAAAATTAAGACAAGACAACGTTTCGGTCCGTCCTGGAGTATTATCAAGTTGTGTAATCGTCCAACCTGATAATGGTCCAGGACAGACCTAAATGTTGTCGTTTCTTCATTTTCTGATGTGTGGTCTAGTCTTCATCCTTTGTATGTCATTATTATACCAAAATTATCGCAACAAACTTTACTTTATTTCCATAAATTATATATTAATTCTATACTTTGATGTTTCCTACTATAATGTACAGTAAATAAAAGATCGGAGAAACTAAACATTCTTGCCTTACTACAGCCATAAACTACATGCTTGATAAATTTGCGAGTCTTCGGCAAAGACTCTTGTCCATGCAAGCTCTTTATGTACACATTAGCTTTCACTTCACATCTTGCATTCATAACGTGTTCCAGTCATTCACTGCGAGTTCTGTCATGCATTATACAGTACCTTATTTTATATAAATAAATATATTTACATTAAATTACATTTGGCAGTATACTGAGTTTGTTAGTAGATATACATATATCTTGAGGTTTACATGAAGATTTGCCAAACCAATTTGCAAGGCAAATGTACTGCAAAAATTTGAGTCAATAAGGTTTAAAAGTTTGTAGTTAATTTCCATGTTTTCCTTATCTGGGCTTCATATTAGTACATTTAAATGCAGTATTTTGTAAAAAAATTTAGAATGTCATTCTTAAGATTTCTGCTTACTTAATACTTAATAAATACTTAAGTGTATTTATTGCACTTTAGTATTAACAGAATATTGATGTCTATAGCAAAAATGGTTACAACAACAAGATTTCATCTCTCATCTGAAGTGCAATTGAATCATGCCTTTTGCTTTTGTCTTGCTCATGTATACTGTATATGTGTGTGTGTGTGTGTGTGTGTGTGTGTGCTCCCTTCTTATGAAATATGCTTGGGTGCTGTGTTCACCAGGCATTGTATGCAAGGAATAATGTTTTGCACATGATTTATTGTAAATTGCTCATGTTGACTGATAATGAAGTTCAGATTGAAATAGTTTTTTTTCATGCCATAAATTATTAAAGTTTCTTTGGAAACAGGAATTGCTTCATTTACAGAATAAAGGACATCTCACATAAGTCATTCTTGGAAAATATCATATTTTTATTTTATTTTAATACATGCTTTGGCATGCCTGTGGGGTGGCAACTACGGAATTTACAATATTGATCTTGAAGTTACGGCTCCTTTTACGGATATGGAATATTAAGAGTGAAAAAATTAATGGTGATAGACTATTAACACAGTATCTATGATAACCTCACCCCCCATTTTTTGTTTAATTTCTGAATAGGTTTTAATACCTTAAGCAATTCTTAATATCTTTGCACATTCTGATTATATAATGCAAGCATATGTTGCTTGCTTCATAGATGTGTTTAGCCAATGTGCAGAAGTTTTAGGGCCTGTCTGTGACATCCTGCTTGGGATGCTAGAGAGTGCACATGATATTAGTATACACGAAAAGAATGAATAATTATTGGTCAGTCAAGTTAGAAACTGTTGGGTTTGGTCAGTAACTGGATGCGTTAGGGTCCACTTGATAAGCCTAGTAGGATTCCTTAGCAAGACAATGATAAACTAGTACAGTATACCAATAAATTATATGTGAAATGTAAGGCTATGACTTTCATTTTGTTGTTGAATAATAGATGGGGAAAAGTATTAAAATATAGTTTTTAAAATACTTGTAAATATAATTCATGAAACTGCAGTGTTAGGTTTGTGATAAAATATGGAGAAACAAGCTAATATTATAGTAATTAAATAAAAAGGAATTGAACATAGTTGGTTATTAATAATCCTTATTTCAATATTTAAATATTTAATCAGATTTTGCAGTTCATATCATGCCTGTAAACTTTGGGACAGTTCCTGCTCTTATGTATTGTGCACTGTATACTGCAAGTAGGCAAAGCAAGATGGGTTGAGGCTCAAGTATAATGCATAAATAAAATTACAGTACAATGGATAGAAAAAGATTAAATTGGAATTTGTGTTGTTTCTTTTCAGTGATTATCAGTGATCATTCTGTCTAGTGTTTTAACATTTAAAAGAAAATTAAGATTGTAGTTGATCATGTCATACACCAGTAGACACTGAGCAGCAAAATTCTTAGCAAATGTTCCATGTACGTTTTCAATAGTCTTATCGTCTGAAAGTGGTTTAAATGTAAAGACACGCTAAAGAAGGGAATCATTTAGTAAAGAAAACATTTTCTAAGCTAAATTTTGTTAACAAATTAGGGAATATTATGAAAAAGTATTAAGAGTACAAAGCACCCTCTTCCTGCATTCTCACATGCTTGCAAAGTCTATCTTTTGATAACTACTAATTTGCCTATAATTTTCATACATAATTTTTAATATAACCTGCAGTGTGATAGAATGGATGGATTAAAGATATCTAACTCTTAATGTACAAAAATATCCACTGTTGAGTATTCACGTTTTTGTCAAATATCCCAAAAAGGAGATTTGAAGGCTCTAGGCTCCTACAGTACAGAGCCTAAACTAGCTGCAGTATTGGGGGAAGGGAAGGTGACAAGCCATTACAACTATATAGCACTTGGTAGGGGTTAGGACAAGGATTTGGGGTGGGATGAGAAGGAATAGTAGACAATCACTTGGATGGTCGCAGATTGAATGCCGACCTGCATGAAGTGAGATTGTCACTGTACTGTCCAGTCGAAGTTGTTGGGCTGCAGAATTGATGAATGGAGAATAATAAGTCCTGAAGGACAATACTGCATTGGAGGGGTGCAGATACTGTACAGGAATTGGAGGAGGCTCTCGTAATACACATCACATGAGGTCTTTAAGTATGCTCAAACAGGATAATACTCTATAGACCATTTACAAATCTGGCAAGTATTTGGATGGCCTTTATGACAAGCCTTTATAAGGAAACATCAAAGTACAATGCTCAGGTCTTATTGTCTAATAAAAGGGTATGATGTGCTGCCACTGAACATCTGCATTGTGAAGGAGAAGGTTGAGAAAGCCTAAAGATTTGTTAGAAGACTGGTGGAAGAAACATGGATGTAAATTAGGAAACCAGGCTAAGGTAGCTCAATGCTAGGAGAGATCTAGGGACGACATTATCCTAAGGTACAAGATATTCTGAGAAAGATACACACACTAGGCTTCCCATTTTGGGTCATTTAACCTTGTATTGACTTGAGTAAATTTAATTGTCTAAGTACTTTAATTTTTGTATCTCATTTTCTCCATTGTATTTATCTCTAGGAACCAATGCCTGGTGCTTGCTCTGGTCACCTCCATGGTTATGCCTTTTTAACATCACCTCACCCTTATAATGATTATCATAGCATCACTGTCTTTTTAACCTGGAATGAAGTTCTTTTTCTTTCCCTTATTTTTATGCCAAACATCCATTCCACTGCCACTTGTATAATCCTGAATAAATAGTATACTATCAGTTCTCATTATCCTTCTCCACATCTTCTGAACTGGGTTCAGGACTGAAGTACACATGCTGGTTAGCCAGCAAGCTACTGAGCTGGTCTAAGCTCATCACCAAATGAAACCAATTAAAGACAAAACAGCCATTATTAGATAATAAAAGGCCACACGGTAAATGTCTCACCACTGAGGGCAGAGTTGCTAAGCTTGGTGGGGCTTTGGGGGGGGGGGGGGGAGAGCGCACGCTCGCGCGAACGAACGAATTAGATTGCACATTCCAAATCGGACAGGCTTGCAAATGGGTGGCAAAAACCTAAAGCACACGGATGAATTTAACATTTTGCAAATGAAGTTAAATTTTCAATGACAGAGAGCCACGTGATTAGCCTAGCCCAAAAAGCAGCTAGGAAACCTACAGCTCTATTGCGCATATCTCATCTTGACAGCAGAGGGTAGGGGGGCCTGCAAAACTATATACGAAGCTCAAGTTTGCTTCCATTTTGAGTATGCACCCCTCTCCTGGAGTGCCTGCCCCTCCATCATTCACCAGACTTTTGGACAAAATGGAGACCTGTGCCAGAAGGCCCATCTTTAATCTTTATCAAGTTTAGTGAGAATGCTCTGAACATCAGAGCCTACAACACTGTTACATATATAAACTTACTGTCATGTACAAGGCCAACATTCTCAAATTTCCACACCTGGCCTAACTTCGTGGACGACAAGTAGTTGGCACCCATAACACTAGCTCTCAACCTTCAAGTCTCGGAGCCCTCTAGCCCTCTAGCCCTCAACCTTCAAGTCTTAACCTTCAAGTCTCGGAGTCACGGAGCTTTAGCAGTCTCCGTGGTGTAGTGGTAAGACACTCGCCTGGCGTTCCGCGAGCGCTATGTCATGGGTTCGTATCCTGGCCGGGGAGGATTTACTGGGCGCAATTCCTTAACTGTAGCCTCTGTTTAACGCAACAGTAAAATGTGTACTTGGATGAAAAAACGATTCTTCGCGGCAGGGGATCGTATTCCAGGGACCATAGGATTAAGGACTTGCCCGAAACGCTACGCGTACTAGTGGCTGTACAAGAATGTAACAACTCTTGTATATATCTCAAAAAAAAAAAAAGTCTCATGCTGGAAGTGCCTTTTTCAAGAACATCATTCCATCAACGAACATTCATTCCCAGGCTCCCCTCGCATCTGGAACTTGTTTGCTCAGTCGGTTGATATATGGAAGACCAGGTCAACTGATCCACAAAGGTTCCGGAACACAGTTGGCTGCAGGCTCATGCTGTTCCGTATATGATTGCTACTTTGAGTTAAATAAAGTTTGTTCCTAATGAAGCATATAATGATCTCAATAAATGGGTCTCTAGGAGCAGGTTTCAACTGAACTGAGGTAGGATTGCAGCTCTTGCTTGCAGTTTCACCAGGTACATGTTCCTTGTGTGATAGTTAAGTTAAAAAGAACATGCTCACAAAATAAATGAGTCTCTAGGAACAAACTTTAAATGAGCTGAGGTAGAATAACAGCTCTTGATTGCAGTTTCACCAGGTACCTCAATCGACAGCCCTAATGAACGGTAGTCTTAGTTAAAACAAAATATAAGAGAGGGAGGGAGAAGGAAAGAGAGAAACGGCAGCGAGCATCATGTGTCTTAAAGTTGGATTTTCACTGAGAATTTATTATAAGTGTCTTAAGCACCTGCTCCCCCTCTCTCCTGTGTTGAGAACTGAGACATGATCTTACAGGAGCTGAGGACCACTGGGGTAAGGTCTAGGTCCCGAGGACCACTGGGACAAGGTCTAGGTCCCGAGGACCACTGGGGCAAGATCTAGGTCCCGCGGACCACTGGGACAGGATCTAGGTCCTGAGGACCACTGGGACAAGGTCTGGGTCCCGAGGACTACTGGGACAAGGTCTGGGTCCCGAGGACCACTGGGACAAGATCTAGGTCCCGAGGACCACTGGGACAAGATCTAGGTCCCGAGGACCACTGGAACAAGGTCTAGGTTCCGAGGACCACTGGGACAAGATATGGTCCCGAGGACCACTGGGACAAGATCTAGGTCCCGAGGACCACTGGGACAAGATCTAGGTCCCGAGGACCACTGGGACAAGATCTAGGTCCCGAGGACCACTGGGACAAGATCTAGGTCCCGAGGACCACTGGGACAAGATCTAGGTCCCGAGGACCACTGGGACAAGGTCTAGGTCCCGAGGACCACTGAGCCACGGTCTTCAAGAGCTGAGGACAGCTGAGAAATACATGCTTCCTAATATCATTTAACTTTTTTTCTGACGTCGAATGGGAATTATAAAAAAATGTTTCACGCTTTATGAGAGACAACTGTCTCAATCTTCTCCTTTTATCACGCGCGAACTTTTCTCTCGGGTTGAAACTTAGTGAAAAAGAAGTTGATATAATTGCGTTGTCTGAAGAGACGTTCCAGCTTAAGAGATTCTTTCTTATATATAATATTTGCATGTTAATTTGAATTGTATTATTTCTCTACTAATTGTGTAATAGTGTCCTAAAAGATTAATATTTACATAGTTTTTGTAAATCTATACTATAAAAAATATTATCTTTATGATTATCTGTTCAAAGGTCATGAAATGTCATATAGGGTTAGGCTCAGCCAAATTATCAGAGAGAATAGTCTATTTTAAGGGATGTTGACACCATCACTACACAACTTTTATTTATTTATTTATTTATATATATACAAGAAGGTACATTGGGATTGTGAGGATACATAGAATAGTAATTACAATCTTGTAAAGCCACTAGTACGCGCAGCGTTTCGGGCAGAACTCCACCCCATACTAAAAAACAATTATTATACAGGAGTTATTACTTAGGCTAAACTAATGATTATCTAAGGTGATCAAAATGATTTTATTTTGTGTATTTATGTTATATTTTGAGTGATAACTAGCAAAATAATATTCTGAGAGCAAACGCCATTCCCTCCTAAGGTAAAAACAGATACAAAAATAAAAAATAACAAAAATAAAAATGAGGTTATAGTTCCCTTGAACGTTGACGAACCATTTTGCAAGAGTCCCATGAATTATTAATTCAGGAGTGCAAAGCTTGGAAATAAAAGTTTGACAAGGAAAAAGATTTATCGAATTAGCTCATGTTAATTAAAACTCATTGACAGGTATGCTGGCCACCTCATATCTTACTAGGAGGGCTACCCGGCGGTGCCCGGGACAGTCTGTCTCCCCCCCTCCCCCCACCCAACCATTTGGACTGGTCGGTACAGCGAGGATCTAGCTTCTTGCAGGTCGGTGTTCGATCCTCCTTGGTGGTCCAAGTGGCTGGGCTCCATTCCTTTTGTCTGTCTAATCCCAAGA